ACAGGTTTACTAACTCCTTGGATTAGAGACGGGTAAAGCTCTGCCGAATACCTAGTATGGGTTCTGCCTGTCTAGTACAAGGATACAACTCAACTGACTCTCCAGGACACACACAGGTCAGCTTGCCGATTCTCTAGTGTGCAGGCACAAGGGTACAGTCTGCCGATTCTCTAGTGTGCAGGCACAAGGGTACAGTCTGCCGATTCTCTAGTGTGCAGGCACAAGGGTACAGTCTGCCGACTCTCTAGCGCGCAGGCACAGAGGTGCAGCTCGCCGACTCTCTAGCGCGCAGGCACAGAGGTGCAGCTCGCCGACTCTCTAGCGCGCAGGCACAGAGGTGCAGCTCGCCGACTCTCTAGCGCGCAGGCAGGGATACAATTTTCTGACTCTCTAGTGTGCACACACAGAGGTACAGTTCACTAACTCTCCAGGGCACACACAGGGGTACAATGTACTAGCACACACATACAAGGTATAACTTACTATCTAAAACAAACACATTGGACAGCTCACTCTCTAGCACACACACAGCAGTTATGGTTCAGTGACTCTCTAGAAACATACAGGGGTACAGCTTGCAGATTTTCTCACTCACATACAGGGGTACAGCTTGCAGATTTTCTCACTCACATACAGGGGTACAGCTTGCAGATTTTCTCACTCACATACAGGGGTACAGCTTGCAGACTCTCCCATACACACAAAGGGGTGAAACTAATGCCTCAGGGGAGCACAACCCCACTACCTCTATAGAACAAGCAACAGTGCAGACCTGCTGACTCTCTAGCTAGTCAAGGATGCACCTGCACTGGCTCTGACCAATGCAGGGGTAGTTTCATCTACAGAACACACAGAGGTGCAGCTCTACCGATTCCAGCAAAAGAAGGGGGGTACAGATCTTAAACACACTGGGCTACACTGCTGCTTGTTCTCTATCTCCAACACAGATATGGGGTACGGTGCTGATCTCTCTGTCTCTCCAACAGATATGGGGTACGGTGCTGATCTCTCTGTCTCTCCAACAGATATGGGGTACGGTGCTGATCTCTCTGTCTCTCCAACAGATATGGGGTACGGTGCTGATCTCTCTGTCTCTCCAACAGATATGGGGTACGGTGCTGATCTCTCTGTCTCTCCAACAGATATGGGGTACGGTGCTGATCTCTCTGTCTCTCCAACACAGATATGGGGTACGGTGCTGATCTCTCTGTCTCTCCAACAGATATGGGGTACGGTGCTGATCTCTCTGTCTCTCCAACACAGATATGGGGTACGGTGCTGATCTCTCTGTCTCTCCAACAGATATGGGGTACGGTGCTGTGTCTCTCCAACACAGGTATGGGGTACGGTGCTGATCTCTCTGTCGCTCCAACACAGGTATGGGGTACAGTGCTGACCTGTCTCTCCAACACAAATATGGGGTACAGTGCTGACCTGTCTCTCCAACACAGATATGGGGTACGGTGCTGCTGGATTTCCTCTTTGTGCCTTTCCAGTACACACAGGGTAACAACTGCTGGGTCCTCTCTGTGTCTCTCCAACACAGTGCTGCTGTGTGTCTCTCCAGCACAGACAGTGGGGGAAATGCTACTTGCTCCTCTCTATGGCTCTTCGGCACTGGACAGGGGGGTAACGTGCTCCTCTCAACACAAACAAGGGGTACACTGCTGCTCTCCCTGTGCCTTCCCAGCAGACACAGTGCTCCTGAATCCTGTTCCAGCACACATGGGGTATAGTGCTGCTTTTAGTGTCCCTCTAGCACAGTGCTGCCATCTCTCTGTCCCTCCAGCATACTCACAGGCGGTGCAGAGCTCCTGAGTCTTCTTGGTATCTCTCCAGCACAGTGCTGCTGTCAGTGTGTCCCTCCTGTACAGTGCTGCTCGCTGTATGTCGCTTCAGTACAGGCAGGGGTGCAGGGCTCCTGAATCTTCCCACTGGCCCTCTAAGCACAGTTCTGCTCTTAGTGTCCTTCCTGCACACGCAGGGGGGTGCAGTGCTTCTCTTAGTGTCCTTCCTGCACACGCAGGGGGGGCAGTGCTTCTCTTAGTGTCCTTCCTGCACACGCAGGGGGTGCAGTGCTTCTCTTAGTGTCCTTCCTGCACACGCAGGGGGTGCAGTGCTCCTCTTAGTGTCCTTCCTGCACACGCAGGGGGGCAGTGCTTCTCTTAGTGTCCTTCCTGCACACGCAGGGGGGGCAGTGCTCCTCTTAGTGTCCTTCCTGCACACGCAGGGGGTGCAGTGCTTCTCTCAGTGTGCCTCCAGCACACAGGGGGTGCATTGCTCCTGGGTCCTCTCAGTGCCCCTCCAGCACACAGAGGGGGTGCAGCACTGAGTCTTCCAATGTCCCTCCAGTATTCTTGAGTCCTTTATATGTCACTCTAGCACAGGTGGGGGGAGGGGGGTACAGTGCTGCTCTCGGTGTCCCTCCAGCACAAAGAGGGGGTGCAGAGCTCCTGGATCCCTTATATGTCTCTCTAGCACAGGCAGGGGGTCTAGTGTTGCTCGCTTTCTCAGTGACCCCCAGGAAAGTGTTGCTTGTTCCCTCAGTGACACCCAAACATAGTGTTGTTCACTCCCTCAGTGTCCCTTCAGCACAGGCAGAGGGCATAGTGTTGCTCTCTCTCTGTGTCCCCCCAGCACAGTGTTGCTCGCTATCAGTGTCCCCCCCCCAGCACAGTGTTGCTCTCTCTCTCAGTGTCCCCCCCAGCACAGTGTTGCTCTCTCTGTGTCCCCCCAGCACAATGTTGCTCTCTCTCTCAGTGTCCCCCCCCAGCACAGTGTTGCTCTCTCTCTCAGTGTCCCCCCCCCCCCCCCCAGCACAGCGTTGCTCGCTCTCTTAGTGTCCCCTCCAGCACAGTGTTGTTCTCTCTCAGTGTCCCCCCCCCCCCCAGCACAGTGTTGTTCTCAGGGTCCCCCCAGCACAGTGTTGTTCTCAGGGTCCCCCCAGCACAGTGTTGCTCTCAGGGTGCCCCCAGCACAGTGTTGCTCTCTCTGTGTCCCCCCAGCACAGTGTTGCTCTCTCTCTCAGTGTCCCCCCCAGCACAGCGTTGCTCTCTCTCTCAGTGCCCCCCCCCCCAGCACAGCGTTGCTCGCTCTCTCAGTGTCCCCCCCCCAGCACAGTGTTGTTCTCAGGGTCCCCCCAGCACAGTGTTGTTCTCTCTGTGTCCCCCCAGCACAGTGTTGTTCTCTCTGTGTCCCCCCAGCACTGTGTTGTTCTCTCTGTGTCCCCCCAGCACTGTGTTGCTCTCTCTGTGTCCCCCCAGCACTGTGTTGCTCTCTCTGTGTCCCCCCAGCACTGTGTTGCTCGCTCTCTCAGTGCCCCTTCAGCACAGTGTTGTTCGCTCTGTGTCCCCCCGATCACAGTGTTGCTCGCTCTCTCAGTGCCCCCCACCCCCCAGCACAGCTCTGCCCCCCTCTGTGTGTCTCTCCAGGCCGCCGTGCGCACACCCAGGCCTGGCCTTCCTCTCCAGCCCAGTCCGTCGCCTGTCAGGCCTCTCCGGTAGTATCGATCCCCCAGACTCCGGGCCCTCCTCGGGCTGCCGTTGTTGCGGTGTCAGTGGCTTCCTCCGGGCCCGTGTCCTGCACTCTCAGCCCCCGGCCCCGCACAGTGAGCATGCCCGGGACCAGAGGAGGGAGGGACGAGGAGGAGCCCGAGCAACTTTCCACAGGACACACACTGCGATGGCTGATCTGTCCCTGGAAATGGCTCTTCCTGGAAATATCCCTCCCCGAGTCCATCCTGGGCCCTCCACTATCACTGCAGACACTGGGACCATTCTGGATGGGGCCCTCAGACACCGAGATCCCTGTGTGTGGGGCCCTCAGACACCGAGATCCCTGTGTGTGGGGCCCTCAGACACCGGGATCCCTGTGTGTGGGGCCCTCAGACCCCGGTGTCCCTGTGTGTGGGGCCCTCAGACACCGGTGTCCCTGTGTGTTGGACTGTCAGACACCGGGATCCCTCTGTGTGGGGCCCTCAAACCCCAGGATCCCTCTGGATGGGACCCTCAGACACCGGGATCCCTTGGTGTGGGACTGTCAGCCACCGGGATTCCTCTGTGTGGGGCGCTCAAACTCCAGGATCCCTCTTGATGGGGCCCTCAAACTCCAGGATCCCTCTGGATGGGGCCCTCAGACACTGGGATCACTGTGTGTGGGACTGTCAGACACTGGGATCACTGTGTGTGGGACTGTCAGACACTGGGATCACTGTGTGTGGGACTGTCAGACACTGGGATCCCTCTGTGTAGGGCCCTCAAACTCCGGGATCCCTCTGGTTGGGGCCCTCAGACACCGGGATCCCTTTGTGTGGGGACCTCAAACACTGGGATCCCTCAGGATGAGACCCACAGACATTGGGATCCCTCAGGATGGGGCCCTCAAACACTGGGATCTCCCAGGATAGGGCCTTCAGACACTGGGATACATGGGATCAAGCTTTGTAGACCACTCTAGAAATCGATGGTCATCGGCTGAGGGTGAGTTATAGTCCATGTGGGCACCTTTCTGAGCACTTTGAACTAGTTGAATAAAATAGGCTTTTCAACCAACGTTGGAGCACGGGCACTTGTTTCACCATTTGGGAATTTAACCGCCTCCCACCCGCCATATAAGGTAATGATGGGCGCAAGGCGATTCTCTCGTTCTGGGAGGACGTCATATGACGTCCTCCCATTCTAAGCGCACAGCGCGGTGATCAGTGGTGCGCTGTGTCCCTCGGACACAGCGGACCACCGATCAACAGAAAGAGCCGAAGATGTCGGCTCGGTCATGTGATCAGCGGTGTCCAATCACAGCTGATCGCATGTAAATAGGGAAATGCCAGTTATTGGCATTTCTGTCCTCATGAGCTGTCATGCTGACATAGGAGAGCCGGTAATCGGCATTCCTCAGAGGGGACATGTACACTGCTCATCAGGGCACTGATGATCAGTGTGCCCTGATGATCTGTGTAGCCCCAGCAGTGCCACCTGCCAGTGCCACATATCAGTGCCTACCAGTGCACATCAATGCTACATATCAGTGCCCATCTGAGCTACCTTTCAGTGTCACCCATCAGTGCCACCTATCAATGCCAGTCAGTCCTGCCTATCAGTGCCGCCTAATGCAGGGCATAGATGGGCCGTTTATCGGCCGATAAATGAAAAATCGGTCAGCCCCGTTGCTGATGCTGCCATCAATGTCCACGAAAAATGGCCGTTTTTCCAGCATGACCGATAAAAATAAACGAGAAGATCCATGAAATACGGCCAACGGGCTGGCCCCACTAACGGCGTGAATATTGGCCAATTTTTCATGTGGACGAAAATTCGGCCGATAATTGACCCGACTATGGCCTGCATTACAGTGCCAGTCAGTTCCATCTAACAGTGCCAGTCAGTGCCGCCTATCAGTGCCATGTATGAGTGCTGCCTTTCAGTGCCCATCAGTGATGCCAGTCAATGCCCATCAGTGCCACCTACCAGTGCCTCCTCATCAGTGCCACCTATCAGTGTCCATCAGTGCCCATCACTGCAGTCTCATTGGCGCACATCAGTGAAGGAAAAAAAATCACTTATTTACAAAATGTTATAACAAAAACTAAAAAAAGTTTTTAAAAAAAAAAAATCTCAGTGGTTTTTGGTTTGTTTAGCAAAAAATTAAAAAACCCCGAGGTGGTTAAATACCACCAAAATAAAGCTCTGTCTAAAAAAAGTAATAAAAATGTCATATGGGTACAATGTTGCATGACCACGCAATTGTCATTCAAAGTGTGACAGCGCTGAAAGCTGAAAACAGGTCTGGGCAGGAAGGGGGTATACGTACCCTGTAGGTGAGGGGTTGATATGCTGTATATTACTGGAATGGTTCATGAGTCATATGCACATGATTGTAAGAATACTAATGCGTGGTCTGCCTAGACCTTTATTACGTGTTCCTGCATGGCGACCACTTCCTGTTATCTCACATATATATTATTATTATAGACAAATTTCCCCCCCTAACTCCTCCCACAGTTTTTACACTACATAGACAGTAATATACCGAAACGTGCAGATTGTTCCCGATTGGTGTATTACTTTGTGGAACGTTTCGCCGAATGCTTCACAAAATATCGGCGTTTTTGTGCTGAAATTGGTCCCACAGGAATGAATGGCGGAATGTTCAAAACTAGAGTGGGAGCTGACAAAAGCTAGAGTGTGAGCTGAAAAATCAGGACATGATTTCTAAACTGCCATCACTCCCTCATTTTCAAGCCCACCGACACAAATCTTATATCAAAACGTTCAGCTATCCCTGCTGCCACTAAAAATGTCCACGGCTAAGCCATAGTCCTGATAGTTTTTACAATACGTTCATTTGTTTGCAACTCACGCCGCCCATTGACATTCATTGAAACTCCACTCTAGCCACCTCAAATTTGAAGGGCAATTTCTAAACTGCGACTGTGCCTTCATCTTTAATATTTTAGAGACATACTATGCATCAAAATGTAGGTCTGGATCTTGTGCTTCCCCCAATATAAAGCTCTTCGGTGTAGGATTTATAATTTGTACAACCGTTTGAAGATGGAAACCGCCAGTGAAGTGAGCAAGTTGGAGCAGTTTGTTTTTAACCGCTCTTCTCTGCCCTTGCTGTAGAGTGAGTTGCCATAGGAACCCAGGTGTGTGAGCAGGCAGCAGAGTGACAAGCCACTCCACCCAGTTACTCCGCCCACTCCACCCAGTTACTCCGCCCACTCCAGTTGTAGACTACTGGTGGAGGCAAGAACACTTCACACAATTTCCCCAGAAATTGTAGCTTTTCTAGTTATTCATATATTGTTGTAGAATTGCACAATTTTTTTAGGACTGATGCAATAGTCCAATTTTTCATTTTTTATCAAATTGTTAAGTATTGCACATCCATAAGCGCAGGAGCACCATTTCTAATTATGATGGGGCCCTCAAACACTGGGATCCATGTGGATGGGGCCTTCAGACATTGTGGTTCTTCTGGATGTTGCCCTCAGACATTGGGATCCTTCTGGATGGGGACCTGAAGGCATTAGTGTCCCTCTGGATGGGGCCTTCAGACACTGGGTTCCCTCTGGATGGGGACCTGAAGACACTGGTGTTCCTCTGGATGGGGCTTTCAGACACTGGGTTCCCTCTGGATGGGGACCTGAAGACACTGGTGTTCCTCTGGATGGGGCCTTCAGACACTGGGTTCCCTCTGGATGGGGACCTGAAGACACTGGTGTTCCTCTGGATGGGGCCTTCAGACACTGGGTTCCCTCTGGATGGGGACCTGAAGACACTGGTGTTCCTCTGGATGGGGCCTTCAGACACTGGGTTCCCTCTGGATGGGGCCTTCAGACACTGGTGTCTCTCTGGATGGGGTCCCTCGGTCCTTTTCTAAACACTAACTGCACTGTGCACCATAAACAACTGATTTCTTTATAAAATGCTTGTTTCCTGGGATGAGATGATTGTCATTTCAACAACAAACTGTTCCAAATGCACGGACAGATCTTTTCAGGTCTTGTTTACTAGCCTTGTGTCTTGTGGCTTCAGGTCACAACACCATGCTGCATTGGCGTGCACTGAAATAAAATAGTTGCATTTTAGGCAAAATTAAAATTAGACGTCAAAAACTAATGCAAGCTCTGCAATGTATTTTTAAGAACGCATTGCAGCACATGTGTACAATGAATATGAGCGCACTTGTATTGTACACACCCTGACAAGGGAAAGCTGGTGTGAATGAGCCCTCAGATGGAGGGAAGGAATCCTTAAAGTAGCACTTATTGTCTTTTCAGTATTCAGCTCCCAATGGGACACCACATATGTAGTACTTAGTCACACCTTCTTAGGTGCCATTGCTAGCTTCGATGTCAAACAGGGCAACTTTTAACCCCCCTTGGCCACGACCGCCTGACACTGCAGCTAGCAAGAGATGGTTCCCAGTATGTACCGGCTGGTGTAGAGGGAGCTGAGGCTGGCACTCTGACTCTCTCTGTGAGACGTTTGGTTCCCCCATGGGCAAAATAAGCCACAGTCAGTGCATAGTCCAACTATATCTGGTCAGATGACCAGAGGTCCAGCATTGGTGGGATAACTGGTTTACCCTGAGTTCTAAAATATTAATTGGAAGCCAAGTACTGTCCAATGACCAAAGGGATATATTGGACTCCTCCTCAGCCCAATAGATTGGCATGCGACATGGGCGCCTTCCATGTATTGGATTTTCCAGATTCCAGTGCCGAATTTGTGACCCAACACGCCAGGTCAGCTGGCCCATTTGTCAGGTGTATGGGACAATCTGCAGATTGCACCCTCTTGTCCCACACTGCCAGAACATTCAGTTGCAATGGTCTAGAGAGAAACTGGCCATAAGGAACTGTCTCAAAGGAGGATACCATTAGGCTCAAGACTTTCACATAAAAACAGAGGGTCACTTGGCTCCTAGAATGCAGAATCCAAAGTCTCCAGGGGAAGGAAATCCTTGGCTATAACCATATACATTAGTGCATAAGATCAGGCCCAGATACTTCAAGCAATGAGACAGTTCCAGTGCTGATTTCGGGAAATGTAGGATCCACCCTAAAGTCTGTAGGGTCAGCAGGGTCTTGTGGACATTGGCTGGCAGAGCCTGAGTCAACATGTTCCCTCAAAAGAAGGTCATCCAGATATCCCACTTTAGGAATGCCCTGGTAGCAAAGCAGAGCGGGTGATCTGAGGTGTAGTGGACAGGCCAAGGGGAAGGACAACAAATTGGTAATGTTTTGTGTCTTTTAATCTGTAGGACATTAAGGTATTATTTATTAAACACTTTATTAAGTTTTATTTTTCATTGGTGGGTCCATATCGGAGCTGTTCCACCCTAAATGACTTAAGTAGATACACTAGTAACAATATTGCTCCAGTGAAAGGTAATATACAGTACATGAAATTAAAATATGAGTAGGTGGTGCCATTGGTGGTATAGCAAGAGATGCATTATGTGATATATCAAAATATTAGCCACCCAATCCAGGCTTTTTAAGGTACCATGGTATGTGTGTGTATGGGGTTTAAGTATGAATTAAACAGATTTTAAAAGGGTTAGATCTCCTAGTCTTGATTTGATTAAGAGCTTTATGAGGATTCTTTGTATGGAGGCATTTATTTTTGAGGAAGGTCCATAGAAGTCCAGAAGGAAGGTTTGTTAATGTTTGGTGCCCACAGCAAAAGGTAGCGTTGATGCACTGGGAAAATAGGGACATGTAAGTGGACACTCAACAGAAGCCACAAGGTCTCCTGTAAGGAGGGAAGCAAGGACTGACCTAGCTGATTTCATATGGAATTTTTGTATGCAGACAAATGTGTTGAGATCCATCATGAGGCAGATGCTCCCTTTGTTTTTGGGGATGAGCAACAGGTTTGAATAAGTGACCTGAAAATTATTTTCTGAGGTAATAGCTATCACCCCTTGAGAGAGGTGCTGCACTAGAGCAGTGCTAAAGTCCACCAGTATTTGCAGGTGATGTTTGAACAAACAACTGAAACATATCAGGACCAGATGGCCATGGAGACCAACAAAAGTCCCCCCCACTCTGTCAAGTGGAAGCTCCCCCGCATTGTAAGGAATACTTGCTTGCAGACTTGAAGGGCCAGGCAGAACTGAGTTTCAGGCTTTGGCTTGAAGCTGGAGGAGTGAGAGAAACAAAAAACTTTTTAGTCCCAGGTGTAGAGGCATTCCCAAATAGAGAGGTTGTCTTTCTTTTCTGAAGCAATAGGGTACTCTTCGCATCAGTGACTTGATTAATGAAGTTGTCCAGGGATGCACTGAAGAGGAATTTATCTTCAAAAGGCATACCCAAAAGGCATTTCTTGCACTGATGACAACATCTGAGCCAAAGGGTTCTTTGCATATGTACCAAAAGAGGCCCACTCTGGATATCTGGGGTACACTATCCACTAACATTTCAGCATAATAGAGTAGGTTCATCAGCTCCAATTGTTGGAGGACAGAAGAATTCTTCAGGAGGGATCCTGGATCCCTGGACATACGCTTGAATAAAACAGTTAAGGTCTAACAGATGGGCATGGTCGCAGTGGCAAGTTACAAGGCAGAGCTTGCAAGGGAAAATAAGGCCTTAGAAAGGGCTTCCAGTCTTTTTACCAACACACCTCAACAGGGACAGTCAGAGTTTTGTTAAGACAGGAAATGGCTGGGTCCACAATGGAGGCAGACCACTTCTCTAGGAACCACTCTCCTGTAAAGTATTGCTGGACTAAACACTTAGGAGGAGCAAAGCTCTTTCCCAGGTTAGGCCAATTACTAAGAAGGACTAGATGCAGTGCAGAGGTAGAGGGCATTTTAGAGAACCCAGGCTAGTTACTTTAGGAGTAGTTGACGAAGGCAGCTCCAAAACATAGACCTCTATGAACTGTGACAGTAAGGACGGAGATGATGTCCACAAGTTTTGGAATAATGTCTGCAGACTGTGATTCCTCATGACAAGTCCTCAAATAATGATAAGGTACAACCCTCCTCATCC